ACCTAAGGGTAAGAAACCCATAGGGTGTAAGTGGGTGTATAAGGTGAAGTTAAAAGCTGATGGGAGTATAGAAAGATTGAAAGCCAGGTTGGTAGCTCAGGGTTTCACACAGAGGTATGGAGTAGATTACTTTGAGACCTTTTCACCAGTGGCCACTGTGAGATGTTTACTTGCAATTGCAGCAAGCAGAAAGTGGAATTTGTTGGACATTAATAATGCTTTATTGCATGGAGAGCTTATTGAAGAGGTTTATATGAGGGTACCCCAAGGTGTTGCAAATCCAGATAACTTGGTTTGTAGACTAAAAAAGTCACTCTATGGGTTAAAGCAAGCTTCAAGACAGTGGTTTGCTAAGTTGAACTCAGATTGCAGATGATGGGTTATGAACAATCAAAGAATGATTATTCATTATTCATTAAAAGGAAAAATGGTTTGCTCACTATTGCAGTGGTATATGTAGATGATATAATAGTCACTGGTTCAAATGAAGAAGAAATCATCAAGTTCAAAGAGCACTTGCATTCTGTTTTCAGTATCAAAGATTTAGGGGTGCTGAACTATTTTCTAGGGATTGAGGTTTGTCATTTACAAGCTGGCATAGTGATCACTACTAGAAAACAGGTTAATTGTGACAGAAATTTTTCGTCGGAAACACCTTGTTTTCCGTCGGAAAACCCATTTCCGACGGAATTCCGTCGTAACCGGTTGTCAGAAAAGTTGTCGGAAAAACACCCTTTTCCATCGGAAATGGGTTTTCCAACGGAATTTCCGACGGATTTCAGTCCGCCGAGAGTATTTTCAAGCCCGGGAAAGTCCCTCGGAAAATTCCGACGGAATTGAATTCCGTCGTAAATTCCCGACGGAATTTCCGTCGGAATATGCTTTAAACAAAACAAAAAAAAGGCCACCACCACGCTGTACCACCGCAAGCCGTCACCCCACACCACCTACCCCCACCTCACACAACCAGCCAACCACTCACCAAGTCACCTAACCCACACCCAACCCCACCAACCGTATCACCATCACACTAGCCCGTTGCACCACCCACACCAGAACCCTACCTGTTTCGTGGTTTTCTGATGTCCTGCGGGAGAGTTACAATTCCGAGACTGGAACCGGACGCCTGTACCTGCAAAACAACGGAGACTCCTGGTGGTGGGAGCTCCGCCTCCAACGATCAAGTTAGTACTTGTTTGAGGAGTAATTAATGTGGAAATTAAAGTGATTGGGTCTCTCTAGGTGAGAGTGTTTAATTGCTTAATCCCCTTTAATGAGGATTAATTAAGTATTTATAGTCTTTGAGAAGCGTGTCAATCCTAGGTTTAGGTTAACCTTGGGCTGATTGGGCTTTCCTCGGAAGTTGGGCCTGGGTGGCCGGTTTCTCCATTAGGCATGGAGTATGCCACGTGTCATGACATAATAGGTCCAAGGTGGACGAATAAGCGGGTGCCACGTGGCAAGCCCTGAAAGTTCCAACTGAGGGACACTTGGCAGGACCTGATTGGCCTACGTGGCGCATTCCGATTGGTGGGAGAAAAATCCCCTAATCATTTGCCCCTCACAGGTGGCACGTGACTGGTCACGTGTTACCTGTGACAGGTGTCGCACTGTAACAGGCGACGGCCTGCTACAGGTGTCACTCGGCGAAAGGCCGAGAGATTCTCCCGCCCAAATTATGAATTCTGGAAGTGACCCTTCGCCTTCTCACTTCGCCTATATATAAGGGAGTGTTGACTTCAGTCATTTTCACACTTGAGAACTTTGTGAGAGAACATTCGGACCCCTGAACTTGCTCTGACATTTTGGACCCTTTCTGCCTACCGCCTGCTTTGACAAGCCGACTGCACAGGATTTTCAGAACTTCATCAATCGTCACTCGTTCAGGTAACCGTCGGTTCTCTTACTCTTAATTTTCTCTTTACTTTATTCTTTTTTGAAATGGCACCACGGAAGCACACGACACGACCTAGGTTAGTGATCACCCGGTCACCGGGGACGGCTGAATCTAGGACAAGGAGTGCCGCCTGCCCTTTTCTGGACCCATCTTTGCCCTTTATACAAAGTCCGACTGTATTTGTGTCTATGCAGAACATGATGGCCAGAACAAAAAAGACTTCCAGGATCTCAAATTCAGACGGCTCCTCCCACAGGGTGCCGATTAGTGAAGCATCTGACCAGGCGCCAGATGTGGAAGTGAAACAAAGCGGCTTGAAAGCCGGCAGTTCTGAGGGAGGAGTCAAAGTGACCCCTTCCCATTTTATAGTTGACAATTCTACATTCTCTCCTGCTCCTTTTAAAGGAGAGGAGGCGGGCCCCTCCGGGAGAGGGGAGGAGTCGTCCTCTTCGGACTCGTCAGAGGACGATTCCGAGTCTAGCTCTTCTGGCCATGCTTCTCTGGACACAGAAGAGAAAAACAGTCGCCTGCAAGAGGCGAGGCTTTCTCACGCAGTTGAGAAGGGGGACGATTGGGCGGAGCCATCCGCCTCTTATCGAGAGCAAAATACCCCCTACTACTGCACGGTACCTCGGGGCCGGATCACGGCCATGCAAGAGAAAGTGGAGAGCTTTATCGCAAACCACACAATGGGCCCCGGCTTTTTAGTGTTTGTGCCGGATCCAGAAGACACAGTCGTCTGGCCGGCTGGTACCAGTTATGATAGCGCCTGCTTTGGCTGCTACGAGGCGGCCATCAAGGCTGGGCTGCGCTTCCCACTACATCCAGCTGTTCAGCGGATCTTGGATGGGTATGAGTTGAGGTTATGGCAGTTAGCCCCGTACTCCTGGGTCAATGTACTCGGCTATGTGGCCGGGTGCGAACTGCACGGGGTGGAGCCGAGCTTCGAGGCTTTCGCCCACATGAACTACCTCAGCCGGACCCCTAAGGCAGGCGGTACCGGCTGGTATCAATTGACGAGCCACAGGGGCTACCTCATGACGAGAGGTAAAGCAAACAAATGGAAGGACTGGCGGAGCACCTTCCTCATCATTGAGAGTTCAGACACAGAGCTGAACAAGCGCTTCAACAGGTGGAACAGGAATCCGCCCCTTCTTGCAGGCGGCCGCAGCATGCCGCCTGTTCCCCCCAAGGCTAAGAAAGAGATCCTAGATAAAGGACTCTTCAAAGTAGAGGCGAAGGTGAACTCTACTTCAGGGGTACGAGAGCAAGTACCCCTGCACTGCGTCCCGAGCTTCAAATGGCTCTACGACGAGTACTTTTTGGCCGCCTGTGGCCTCAGCAGTCGGTGCTCAAGAGGTAGCCGGCCTGTCGAATACTCTGTTGTTCCATGCATTTCTTGTTATGACTTATTAACTTTGCTATTTGTTTTTGCAGCGGACGCTATGAGCAAAATTACCGCCTCCAAGACTGCGGCGGCCATGTTGCGGGCCTCCATCATGCAACAGTCTTCAACCGACTCCCCCAACAAGGGGGCACCCTTGGTGGGCTTCGAACCTTTCACCCTCTTTTTGGAGTTGTGTTTATGCATATACTGACTTTTCTCTTCTTTTTTAGACGGGCGCTCCAAGAGCTTCTTCTTCCCAACAGCCGGACCCCAAGGCCCGGAGGACGACTGTTGCGAGCTCTCCTGGTTCTGCCAGGAAACATGCGGCGGCTGAGAAACAGCCGGCCACTTCTTCTAAAACTCCAGCTGGGCCGCCTAGAAGTATGAAGTTGTCCTTGTAAATTTTAGACTTGCTCCCTTTTTTACTAGGTCTAATCCGTTTGTTTATGCTTGATGCAGCCGGCCCTCAGGAGCCTGACTTGGTCGAGGTGGCCAAGTCTATGATCAAGGCCGTTCCTCCAGCTGAAAGGGAGGCGGTCAGGGGTGTCGGCACCCTTGACCTAGACGGGATTGCAGGGGTCCTTGCTGAGGTATACTTAGCATATTTTTGAGTATTTGAATTCCAGAACGCCTGTTTTCTTTTTTGTTTGGAAACTGACGCCTGTTCCCCTTTGTTTACCACTCCCGGTATACCCCACTACCCACCTACAACCACCACCGCCACAGCCACCTAACCATATTTACCACTCCGCCACCCACCTAAAATCACCACCGCCACCACCCAAAATCATCACAACCTAGAAATTAACAAAAAAATTAAAAAAAAAATTAAAATCCGAACGCAACCCACAAACACAATCTCCATCCAACAGCCACCACCCACCACCACCATAAATTGTAAAAAAAAAAATCCAATAAAACAACAAAATAAAATCAAAATTGAAAAAAACGAAATACATACCTTAATTAGACCACGCATAACCTCGAAATTGGGTTTAAGAGGCCAAATTCGACCATAAAAACTCTAGATCTAGAGTTTTCATGGTCGAATTTGACCCGAAAACCTTTGTTTTAAGCATGAAGAGAGAGAGTAAGGGCGAAAAAGATGAATATTGTAGTTGATGTTGATGCCGGCGATGGTGTTGTTGATGTTGGTGTTGTTCGTTGTTGATGTCGGTGGTTAGTGTTGGCTATGGTGGGAGATTTGAGGGGAAAGTAGAGTAGAGGAGAGATGGAGAAGGAGAACGAGATCGAAAGAGGGGAGTGAGATTCAGAGATCGAAAGAAGAAGGAAAGAGAAGGGGAGTGAGATTCAGAGAGAGGAGTGAGAACGAAAGAGAAGGGGAGGAGAGAGAATAGGAAAGATAAGGAGAAGGAGAAGAGGCGGAAAGAGAGGAGTGTTAGGGTTTGTAGGAGTTGATATTTTTTAAAAAAAATTAAATAAATTCCGACGGAAAATTTCGTCGGAAATTTCCGACGGACTAAAATCCGTCGAAAAAAGTAATTTCCTACGGAAATATCCGTCGGAAAGCACATATATTACGACGGATTTTTATTCCGACGGATTGTAGAATTCGTCGGAAATATCCGACGGATTTGTAGAATTCGTCGAAAATATCCGATGGAATTAAAATCCGTCGGAAAATTCGATATTTCCGACGGAATAATTGGTCCGTCAGAAGTAGTCCGTCGTTATTTCCCTGTTTTCTAGTAGTGGATGACACAGAAGAAATTTACAAAAGAGCTTTTGTTAGACTACAATTTGGATGTTTCAAGGACTGCAAAGACTCCATTGCCTGCAAATTTGAAGTTATTGGAAGATGAAGGTGAATTGTATTCAGATCCTGAGCACTATAGAAAAATTGTTGGAAAGTTGAATTTTCTTTCTCATACACGACCAGATTTGGCTTTCTCTGTTCAGACCCTAAGTCAGTTTATGCAACAGCCAAGATTGCATCATGTGAAGGCTTTACAACATGTGTTAAGATATGTTTCTCATACTTTGGGTCAAGGTATTATCCTATATGCTACTGATCAGTTATCCTTGACAGCATATTCAGATTCAGATTGGGCATCTTGTCCTAATACTAGGAGATCAGTAACAGGATATGTTCTGCTCTTGGGAAAATCACCAGTTTCATGGAAGTCAAAGAAACAGCCTACTATCTCCAAGAGTTCTAGTGAAACTGAGTACAGGGCTATGGCAGCTGCATCTTCAGAGACAACTTGGTTAGTCAAACTGCTTACTGAATTGTGTGTTCTGAATTTGAAGCCAGTAGCATTACACTGTGATAATCAAAGTGCTATACACATTGGGAAGAACCCTGTGTTTCATGAATGCACTAAACATATCGAATTGGATTGTCATTTCACCAGAGAAAAGGTGCTGGAGGGTCTAATTGTGCTGACTTACACTCCCACAGCAGAGCAGCTTGCTGACATTATGACTAAAGCTTTGAGTTCCTTCCAGCATAATAAGCTTAAATCCAAGCTAGGAATGTATTCTGATGTTGATATAGTTCCTAGCTTGCGGGGGGATGTTAGTGATGACACAGCAGAGTGTGCCACGTCAGATGATGAGTGAGTATGCAGAAGGTTGTTAGAAGAATTCTGTTATAACAGAATTCTAGCTGATGCAATAATTAGTTAAGAAAAAGTTGTTATAACAGCTGGTACTATATATAGCTGTACTTACTCTACATCTCATGATTTTTCTTGATTAATAAGATTTCTCTCTTCTTCTGTCTAAATTCTCTCTCAATTAGACTTAGCTTTACTGTTCTTCACTGTATTTCAATATATATGATATGATCCAGTTCGAGACATGGACACAAGGATATTTACTTGTGTCGACACCAGTAGGCTTTCAGCACACTTGACCATGGGTTAAAGCATACATCTTGTAGACACTAGTAATTTCCGCCACCATTTTCTGATGTTCGCAGCAGGGTCAGCGCCCCACGATCCCCAGGCAGTAAGATCCCAGTGATAGGTCTTGAGAAAGAATAAACAATGAGGGTAATGTGTGAAAATAGATGAAAAGAAAGGGTTGTTTACTTGTTTTAGTAATTTCACCTTGACATTTAGTGACTCAAAGAAGAATCCAGCAAATTGTAGATCAACATTTCTAGCCATATGTTCATGACGTTTGGAAGGAAAGAAATTATATTCTTAATGAGACCAATGTTTTCCAAGGTAGACTGATTATCCTTTAACTATTTCTATCAATAATGCAACTACAGTACAAGTTCATATAAATTATATGTACTACAGAATATACTAAGTATGTTCAATCTAGGTGGATAAAAAAAGAAAGAAGTGAAACAAAACTTATCTGAATGGAATAAGGCTCCACATAACCCAGACACCATACCAAGGGAACACTTTAAGTAATTATTACACCGGTTGGTACTATCCAGGATTAACACAGCTTTGGCCTAGTAAACTCTATTCAAAATCAGTTGGAGTGGAGTGATTGAAACAATGCGCAGTTCTGAAAGCCTGTAGACAATAAAATCACAATATATTAGGGATGGCTTCAAGAACCTATAAGGGACCTTGACCAGTACAGCAGAAACAAATGTATTTGGGAATGCAGTCACAAAATTTCAGCATATGCAGCACGATACATGAAGTTGCACAGAAATATAAACATGAGTACAGTTTAAATTAAAACATATAAGCAACACAAACTGAAACTGAAGATCGGTTACTAATGTACTGCACAGTAATTGGACAAAGGCTTGTTTTGCAGTTTGTTAGTTTTTGGAAGTTGGCTTGCTTGATCGACCAGTTGTAAGTATAGCAACATATATTCTTTTGGTCAGATGGTAGCTTTAGCTATTAATTTTGATGTTTGACAAAGTCATCTATTATATGTTAGCCGATTAACACTTTATAATTAATACACAAAAGAATTTACTTTTAGACAGCATATCCAACAAGCTACCAAACAATGCCAAACTAGATGTTCTATAAATTAGGTTGAAACACCATAACTGTACCTGCCTCCCCCTTTGAGAAATAAGTGCATCCAGAGAGGGGTGCATCTACAATTCTTCTTGTGTTGAACGCATATACAATATATATTAAAAGGGGAAAAAAATGCAGCATCAGCAGAACAACTAGAATCCTATTATCTTAACACAGCCCCTACCACCAGCAGGGCTTACAAAAGTTAAGCTGTACGCAGACTTGCCCCAATGGCTATAAACATTCAAATACAACTTAGCGATTGATCTTTCAGACTGCCATGAATTATTAGTTAAAATTTAGTTGCACGTTGCAAGGGTATGTCAAATATCAAAACTACCAAATTCATTTAGAAGTGAGGAGCATAAGCAATAATTTACCACTCATCGTGCATAACGAATTTCAGTACAGCATTTCAGCACCAAATAAAGCATGATCATGAAAAGTTTAAACAACTTCTATACTTACTTGAAAAGGTGCAATAGAATGTACAGATAAATTTCAGTTCACCAAAGCGCTGCAGAAATCTTAAATGGTCTTCCCATTGATTTCTTATCTTCTTTAGTGGGTCTCCATAGCGAATTCTCAGACTATGGTAGTGATTAGTGAACTCTATCTTTCTGAAGCATGAATTCTTCTGCTTCTAATGCAACAGAGGCCACTTCCATATATTTTCACAACATACATGGAGTTCAAAAGTTTTTAAGAACATGATCCTTGCTCTTTTGCGCCATAACAAGTTTACAAACGAATATAACCATGTATACACTGATTGCGGACAGAAAATGGGGAGCTCAAGCAGAAAAATTAGGATGCATACAACATGGAGTCTGAAATTCAAATTCAATGTACCCCAATCTCATAATTTTGTAAGGCTATGACTCTGTGTATAAATAAAATGGGAAATAAACAGAAAACAGATGAAGCCGGCATTATCTGTGTGGTATAGAAACCATGAATCTATCTTCAGATCATATCCAAATAGCCCATGCTATAAAAATTACAGTTCCAAACCAATGGATGACATGCCTGAACATAGCAAAACAGCATATAATTAGAAACTTCACAGAAAAATCTCTACTTTAAAGCAGTAAGCAAAGGGCTCATTCCAACCAGCATAGAAAATCATGCTCAGAGAGGGGAAAGAAAGAATGAAAAACAATTAATAAGCACAATCAGAAATCAAATGAGATGACAAAAGAATCAATGTGTACCAACCTGAATAGTTTCAAGTCTACAGTCAACAGCTTTTAACAAGGAGACAATTAAGTTCAGTTTTCAAGCTCTAAAAGAATAAAAGTGCATCAACATTTCAATGAAGGGTAGCAAAGCTTTTCCATTATAATGCCATTGCAGAATGCCAATATCAAGATATACAAGATATACAAAGGTGATTTTTCAGGTTCTAGGTACATCTTTCAATAAAAAAAAAAAAAAAACAGAGTTAAAAAGTGGAAAAGCAAGACAATAATATTTAACCCTGGATATAAAAAGGTAATATTTCAAATACTACTGTTTTATGTACACCTTCCAATAAAAAACAGCATCAAAGAATGGAAATGCAATAAATAAATATCTAATCCCAACAATAAAACCTGAAAATTCCCTGATGCTGGGAACAGCATTCCTTTGGTGACTTCATCAATATACCAAGATGCTGGCAGAGCATATCCCAAAAGAAAGCTCAGGTAGAAAATAGTATGTTATGCCCCAAGCTATCTGCTCTCATTTTCAATCAAATTATGAATATTAAGATTTCAAATCATACCAGCAATCAGTATATCAAGAATGTTATGCACAGAATATGCTCAAGAACAGCAAGGAAAGATGGACATGTGACATGATTGGAACCATAGCTAATAGATTGAAGGCTTGTGTCTGACACATTGGTCAGCGAGCGTCCTTCTGAAAGGTCCTCTTCTACGCTTATCATGACAGCAGAAGTCTGAGAGAGGACCAATCTTTATCCATGCCTGTCTGTTGGAGCGAATTGGATGATTGGGTCATCAGCCACTTTCATGGACCACCAAATTCCCATTATATTGTAGGCATATGAAGGCCACCTTATGCTGCTGTTACAAGAAATTGAAACTCCTTAGCAGATCATCTTTTGTGTCCTCTCAAGTGATATGAGCCTACGAGACTAGAGAAAGTAGAAAAGCTATTCCCAGTTTCCCACAAATACATCTGCTCTAAGAACACTTCATAGTCAATGGCTGACTTGATAAGATAAGGTTATTTGTCATAAATATGACCTAACACCTAGCTTCTTTTTCTGGAAAGGAAGCTTGTCTTCCAACAGACTATCTGCAACAACTAAGTAAAAAATTGCTGGTGTGCTCAGCTTCATAATGTACCCTACTCGTTCTCTAATTTCTTCCTTGCTGCTACAAATTTAATTGATGTTAGATCTTTACTCTAGCTTCTTACAATGAATCATCCATTCTTTCTCTATCTTCATATGAACAGCCATATAAGGCATAGGCTGCAACTTGGATCTGACCCCACTAGCACCCTGACCCAGCTCAGGTGCCAATTGCTCACCTATGGCTTCTCCCCCTACAGATCTAATCTAATGTTAAAAACAACTCGATCAGCTTGTTTGATAATTCATCAACTAAAGTTTAGCCCTCATAAACCTTAGCTTAGTCCTTGACACGCAAATGATCATGCCAGAGAAACGGGCTCTTCTCTACAATGCATTTGACTTCATACTGATCATAAGGGTTTCTGCTGAATTCCTTCAGTTGATCAAAGTCTCTCACCAATGTCCACTTTATTCCATTCCCCTTCTGCTGCTCCAGAACTTTTGTCTGATTTAGTAGCTCTGAGTACCAACCCAACCAAACAAACCCATTGCAAAGAGAATAAAACTTCCGAAATTGCAAAACTTACCTTATCAGTTGATAAGAAAGTAATATAGTTGTATAAAATTAGAAAGGGAGACAAGTTCAGTTTTAATTTTTTTAATAGGAATTGATCAAATGATACGTATAAATAAACCCTATTGGGTTTTAAATTAAAGGAGCTCAACAAAAATAACTAAAATTGGCTAAATCAATGCGCCCAAACACCAACTAACTTGGCACATCAAATTTTTTTCATGCCTATATTTGTGATCCACCAATCGATTTTATTTCATCCACAAAACCAACTCAAGCAAGTAGATTGGTGCTTAAAAGTACAAGGGGATATCAAAGCCAAAAAAGAAGGAATATTTTTATTCTCTGCAATAATAGGATTACATACAAATCCACATGAGAAATTGTTGCGAGCACCGCTCTTAATGAGTTCCTCTGAAAATCTGCAAACTGGTAACATATGGTATCTAGAGTAGCACTCTTTCTAAATTTCACCTACAAACCCAACTCACTCTGCTTCATTAAGTATAGGGTTGGTGAGGGGCTTCATCTGCGCAAGATATACAATAGCCCACCTACACAAATAGAGATTTATATAAACAACTTACAACAGTGAGAAAGGATATCAAAACCATAAGCACCATCAACAGTTATTCCAAAGCTTTCCAGCATCTCCGATTTGAATGGAATACACAATAGAACTAACACATTGTCAAATAAACCTAAGCAAAAATGGTCTATAACTGTAAGGAACTGCGCATGGTACGCAGACTACTATAGAGGTCAACAGAATTGATTATCAAACAAGATCAACCATTACCCCTGCCAAATTCTCTTGACTGTAAATTGTTCAAACTGCATTCTAGGCATTTCTAGCCAACAAAGGCAGTAATCATCCATTCCCTATAGTTATACAGCTGGCCTTTTCAGTGGAGCATGCAATGCCTAATAAATAAATAAATAATGTAACTAGCAAAACAATTAATGAGAATCTGATCTGAGGGGTCTACAAAGGCAAATACTCAGAAGCGGAGACAACTTCTCCAACAGACTCTTGGATAAGATTACTTAGAAAAGTAGACTAATCATATTTCTTGATGTCAGTGGGGATAGTTACACATGCTTTTTGCAGCCTGCAGTTCATCAAAAAAATCTTTCGCTCTCTAGGGAAGTAAGAATTTTTGCAAGCTGTCACCAATTGACCAAAATTTGAAAGTACTCATCATTTATCAACAAAGCTATGCACTAAACTTGAAAATTGGCATCATTCCATAGTCCATAGATCTTACACTGGGACGAAAGGAAACATATTTGTCATGATAATTTGAATCACTATGTCACCTCCCCGTGTTTCTTTCCTTCTCTCCCAAGAAAACAAAAACTTGCCATACAAAACCCACTTTTGCAATATTCCTCATTGAGTTGAAGCCATTTCGGGCATAGTCATGATTTTGTTTATCCCAATGGTTCAATTGAAGAAGCAAAGCAGCTATAGTCTTTCCCAGTGGAAAATAAGAAGAGAGATTTGAAGTGGTGACATGAGATGACAGTTGCTAGTACTCCATCTGCAGACCTCAGCCTACAGAACAACTAGCAACTTTCTCAGAGAAAGGAAATTTCATATCCGAATGACATGGAACAAATGGAGGTCTAGAAGTGATTTATAGTTTCCAGTGCATTTTGTCACAAGTTTCCAACCTAATTATAGGGTTGCACAAAAGTCATTCAAATATGATAGAGAAAAAAGCTAATACAATTGCTGGTACAACATTTTGTGGTTTTACATAGTTACTCAGCCAGTGCAATATTTTGATTCACCTAACCGGTAAGGAAAGTAATAGACTTACATCATCCAGCAGCAAACTGTTGCTGTAATAACCAATGTTAGGTGGAACCTGCAGAAATTAAAATACTTCAGTCACTAGATTAACAACATTAACAAGTAAAACAATCATTTGTACAAGAAGACTACTCCAGAGTCCAGATTATGTTCAGTGAGATAAAAATGCTAAGGGATAGCTTTGACAATTTGTAGATCACATAGGTTCATAGGATGAGAAAAGGTCCTATTACACCCAAAATCAATTTGGAAGTTATCAATTTACTTTGCTAGAATTAACTAAGTGACCTGCCACATAAAAGAGTCAAATACAATAAACAAGCGAGCTGAAAAGTAGAACTATCAGGAAAACAAAAAAATATCTTCTTTCTCATCTAGTAGATAGCAACACCCAACTTATTCATCTCCTATGGTCAATTTGTCTTTGTTTGGATTCATATGTTATGTGCAAAACAAGAGTGATACATCACCCCGCCCCCCCCCCCCCCCTCCAAAAAAAAAAAAACTCCCGCGCACGTAATATGCTTGATTTGTTGAGCATGAAATCTTCTCAGAGAAATATTTTAAACATCAACATTTTGTTTGGATAGAGAGAAATGGATTGGAAAGGAAAGAAGAGAAAGGATGCATCATCCTTTGTTTGGATAGTGGATACCTAATGCAAGGAGGGAAGAAAAGGGAATTGGGAGAATCCATTTTCTTTCCCCTTTTAATAAACCAAATCCCTTCATTGCTGGAAAGATTTGCTAGGAAAATGGAAGGTCGCCTTCTCCTACCCCTCACTTCCCTTTCCCTTCCCTCTTATTCCTTCCCCACCCTCTCCTTCCCTATTGTTATCCAAACATAGTGCAATTGTGAAATCGAGCCAAGATATTCCTCGCATAATAAAGCCCCTCATAATAGATCTACAATCCAACAAACTTGCACACTCAAATCTAATTTTCTTCAAATCAATCACCAAGCCATGACTTATCCATTCTCTTTCCCCCAATCACCCACTCATCTTTATCGACAGAAGATCACTTCATTTTTTTTACTTACTCGATGAATTCAAACCTCTCCGCCATAAAATCAAACTATTTTTACTAAATATTATTTTTTTTTAAGGTGAAGTAAACCGGGCCTTACTATATGATCTCAAACCCTCTCCTGTACACATACAATGCCATCAAATCAAATTAAAAACATCCATCTCAAAAACATAGCAAACCACATTTCTTATCATATACATCAAAGTTTTTAAACAATAATTTCAACACAAAAACTCTTCATTCTTCAATGTACCGAATCAATTCAACACTCCACTAAAAACGAAAATCAGTTATAATCCAAATTACCTAAAATTAAACCCCAAATCCCAATTTAAACAAGTCAATCAGCAAAACAGAGGAACATCAACAATCATTAACCATCAAACAACAATGCAGAGCTAAAAATGAGCAAATTCAGATTCAAAGATCCAGTAAGAGGAGAGAGAAAGAGAGATTACAGATTGGTAGAAGGGCCACGATTGAAGCAAATTCTGGTACAAAGAGAAGCAATAACTCCGATCACCAAGAATATTAGGGATGTAACAAGGAACCCCATTACAAATCTGAACAAACTTCCTCTCTTTCGCTCTGATTTCAATCGGTACGATCAAAATAAACCCCAGAAAAATACTTAGAAATCCCAAATTGATTTTGAATTTGATTTTGATTTCTGTAAAATTAGCAAATTCGGTGTCAGAATTGATAACTAGTGTGGAAAAGGCCTTCCAGTTGATTTACGAAGCTGCTGCTTAACGGGTAACGAACTAACGACTACTTCAAGGTTTGCCAAATGAATTTGCAAATCATGGAATTTTTGAATTGGTACTTTAATTAGGAAATTTGTATTTTACAACTCACGAATAAAAAAAAAATTAAATTTGTATTTGTATAATAGCAAATCATGACATTTGATGTTAAGGTTTGGCCCAACTTTTTATTACTTTTACTAGCTTTAAATTCTTTTTTTCCGGACTAAACAATACCTAAAAGAGAAAATTCAAGCTAATATGTCAGGGGATATAATAGTAACCTAACTTATTTAGGAGGGAGCCCCGGTTGCTCAAAATGATAAACGAATTTCATTGATCAAATGACAATTTCGTAAATACTTTGCCTTGAAATCCGTACAAAAATGATAAAAAAAAATGCACATGGGGTCAGATGCCAGCTGGAGGTAACGTTTAGGCTTGGACGTGGAGTTAACGACTTGTGAAACGATGAATTGAATGTCGTTAATTAAAAGGTAACTTTTTACCATGGAGAGAGAAAGTAAAGTGAGCAACTTTGTCAGAAGAGAGGAGAGAGATTAATGGAAAAAGAGGTTGAAATTGAACAATGAAGGAGAAAGCAAAGAAAATTTAGCATTAATAGCTCGATCGAGAAGGCCATTACAATTCTGGAAGTAAAGAGGTAATTTATCTCGTCGATTCCTACAATCGTTCTTCGTTGTTGATTTATAGTGCTATTTTAAATTAGCTTGTTATAGTACTGATTTTTCGAGGTAATTTATAGTACTGTTTTAATTGATGGATTTGATGTTGACAAATTAGGTTTACTCGAACTAGTAATGGTTTAATTGAGGTAAGTGAAGTTAAATTATTCAGGGTAATGGTTTAATTGTGCAAAATTCATGTGGGTAAAGCTAATTTATTGGTTTGATTGAGGGGGATTTGATGTGGACAAATTAGGCTAACTGGAATTAGTAATGGATTAATTGAGGGAAGTCATGTTAAATTGTGCGATAATTCTGGACTCCTACTCGCCACTTCTGGTTGTTGTCACTGAGGCAAGGGTTTGGAAGCCAATGCTGAAATTCGTACACAGTGAGCTAAAGGGAAACTTCAAGGTTGAGGTTGTTGGGCCAAATGAGTGTTGTGTTTCTGGGCGACGGAAGCTTCTCCATACTTCTCTTGCATGAAGAATACGTTATACGAAGAGGTTATGTCAGCAAACATCATAGTAAGTTCCTTTTTCTATTAATTAATACAAGTATATTTTAGTTCAATTTAACAATTTTTAATTTCATGTTTTTGTAGGTTGAAACTTTGCTAAACGTTGGATTCCAACCAAGCAAATGGTTGATTGACATTGGAAGGGCAGACCTACCACAAGGCAACATTTGAATAAATAATAACTCATCAAAATGATTTACACCATTTTGGTTTTAGCAGGGATTGTAAGGACATGCCTTGTAGTGATGATCAAATTTTATGTGATTTCGATTTAAATAAATTAATTGTTTTTTATGTATGTAGTTGTAGGTGTCGTTTGAAGTGCGTCTACGTTAAAGCATGTGTGAATATACTTGGCACTCATAGGAAGTAAGAATTGACATTATACGATTAGGGACAAGAAAAAGTAGGGAGCCGCCAACAAGTTTTTAAGGAACTTGTAAACCGTTCACGGATCATTAAAGGCAACCACTATAAAAGGGACAACGATAGGCAACAACGATTGACCCGTGAAGGTTACACCCCATTCATAATCCATGAGATTACTAACTTCATATGGTTCGGAACCACGAAAGGAGGATCGGGGATGATGGTACGAAGTGAGTCATGGAGTCACACTCGCCCGTATTGGCCTCTACTCAATTCTTATAGTGAAAGTGATTACTGCAATCTCAAAGGCATGCAAACAAAGATTCAATTTGCTCCAAACTAAAAATTGGTTGAATATTAATGCAACACTAATTCTAATAATTAGTGATCACTTCAATTAATAACAAGATTAAAAAGGAACCTAAACCGGTTGTCCAAATTATCTTATTAGGTGTGATTTTCAACTACATATTCCCTTTAACATGCAATATGGTGATCATAAAAATATAATAGAATAAACATTAATATTGGAAGCAATTCAATAATAAATTGTTAGTCAAATCAAATATAAATTAACCTAATCATGATACTAAAAATATAAAAATAAAATAAGTAATCAAATAATTAATTAATTACATTACGCGCATTCCTTAAAATTGCTAAATCATGAATAAATTGTTAGTAACTTCAATAAAATATAAATCAAATTAAAATTAAATTAAATAAAAAGTAGAGTTGATTTGGTCAAAACCCTCAGTTTATTATACCTTTCACGCCTTGGTTTAAGTATAGAACTTCGGGTATTGTATGAACTCCTTGGATTGCTTAAGGAAGGAATGATGTAGTTAGGAATATAGGTTTAAGGCTTAGAATATATAAGAGAGAGAGAAGAGAATGATTTTTGTGTAGAAGAGAGGAAGAGAGAATGATTTTTGGTGCCCTGAGCTGTAGAATAGAGGGGGGTATTTATAGGAAAAATGAGTAGAGGGAACACACGGAACCCTAAAAAGATAAAACCCTAGTTTTGGGGCGCCGTGACACGTTAGCATATTGTCACGACACGGCAAAATATGTCGTGACATGAGAGAATTCAGTGTAACGCGGGAAAGCAGCAACCCTAAAAAGGATAAAACGCGTGCAGGGTTTACGTGGAGAAAACACGGGAAAATCCCGTGACACAGAACATGTACCGTGACACGGCACAGGGCACCGTGACGCGAAATTGTCCACCGTGGAACGGTACGGTACATCGTAAAAAAAACGCGTGAGAAAAATGCAAAAATGACATGGAAAATAACACTAGCTGCCGTGCCACGTCAGGTATTGCCGCACGCGGCAATTTTGCTGTTGCGCGGCAATTCCAGTTTTTTACCCTTTTTAAAATTATGATAAATTTTGATCCGTAACTCAAAATAAGGAATATAATATAATATATTTTTAGAAATATTATCAAGTCTAATTTCCAACTCAATTTGAATAAGGTCAAAATAATTTGTAGACTTTAAGATATGGCCGTTTTAGTGAAAGGGTGTCGGTCTTGGGCCAAGTTTAGTATTTTGCTCATATGTTCTTCGTTTTAAATCAGAATTGGTCTTATGATACATTTTTGGAAAGCTTATTTTAAGGCCTATAAAACCAAATAATAATTGGAACAAAATTATAATTCCATAAAATCAGTTTCTCTCGGTTTTGTGATGTGGACACGAAAAGTTGAAAGTAAGTTTTGTTTAAGGGAAATGAGCTAGGAATTGGATTGGTTTATGAAATGTATTTTATAGAAACATGGATTTAAGCACTCCAAAGGTTAAATACTCAACCCAACCAATAATGGCGGTGAAAGGTTGTTCATCATCGGGTTTGGTTTTGGAGAGACATTTTTAGGTGTCTACAGTAGTGAACTCTGAATGATCTAATCGAGTGTGTGTTACATTCTCCATTATATCATGTAGTCATGTATTAATTTCCATTATATCATGTTTTAATCTCTATTATATCGTGTTAGCCAAATATAAATTATGGTAATTTGAGTTCGGCAATGATATGTTTATATTGTTGGGTTGTATAGCGTGGCCTAGTATCACCTCTAGTGTGCTCATTAACCTACAGGTCTAATTCCACTATCATATAGTTTGTCCCAATATCACCTCTAGCCAAAATATAACCTCAGGTTTGGCCCAAATATAACCTAAAGTGTGGCCTGATTCCACTACACCTCTTGTGTGGCCTGATAGCGCTAAACAACTAAAATAGGATCAAAATTTAGGCGGTATTAGTGGCGCCAAATATGAAAAAAAAAATAATTATAGTTTCCCTGGGATATTTCCGCCTATATAATTGCAAATACCTTCACAAAACATAATTGCAAACCTACATAGTTCAACACAAACTATAATTAGTCTCTAATGATCTCCCCAGCAGAAATAGCTGTAGATGAAAGTAAAAGCCTCCAAATACATGCCAGGGACATTAAGAGAAGGCAGGGGAGAGGGTTTTGGATCAACCATGGATGTAAACAAAAGTTTGTTGTTTACAAGAACAGGTTGGTTCCAAACACTCTTGTCGAAACGATTACGCTGGCCGTCAAATTCAGGCCTCCTCGCCCTGTAGGAGGATTTATTGAAATGGGTAAAGGGATATTGGTTGTTATACAGTCCGTATCAAGTGTTGGAGAACATAAACTCAACCTCCAATTAGTCACAGCTGCAACCGTTGCTGACTGGATTGCCCATGGGCGAAGACCCGCTGGTGACATATTGCTCCTTAAAAATAATTCCATTGTACCAGCTCACCTACCAGATCTGTCAGATTTGGCCCTATTACCTGTTCCTCTCAAGATGGAAATACAGAGGATTATCATCAAATACGGTGGTGCAGATGGAATTGGCGTAGAACATGTCATCCCGAGGTGCGTGGAAAATATAGTAGACCCAAGTTCAATACTACTGACTATAATGGAAACGTGCTCCCTTCAAGTAGGAACACATCAAATAATGGAGATCAATAGCTACTCTGACAACTTGAAGGTTTTTAGGATAAACGGTTCACAAAGCTTAAAACAATTATCAGCTAGTTGGACTTGGTTATTAGGAAATGTATTGGATGGTCGGAAAGTCACACTTCAATTCAGCATAGCTAATTCATCAAGTTACGAGGTAGGAATAAGGGCCATGGTTTGGAATTGTAGGGATATGATGAGAAATTCATTTCTCCCTCAATTCAAGCACTTGTATGAGCTACACTTACCCGACTTGATTGTTTTAACATAGACTAGGTGTTCTGTGCAAATGGCTCATTTCATTTTTAATAATGTCAACTTCTACCGCTCTATGGGTCATTCAGAGTCTGGGGTAATTGGAGGTATTTTCCTGATTTTTCGGGATAAAAAACAAACAATACAGAGTCGCAAGGAGGTGATGAATGTTTGGAACATTATCTCAACTTAATTTTCATGTTATGTTCTTGACAATTATATTTTAATATTTATTATATAGTTTGTAGTCCCTTTTATTATGCCATATGATATTTTGCTATTTTATGGAGTCATATGGCATAAGTGTATTGCAATTTGGGTAATGTAATGTCCTTTAATTTTGCCATATGGTCAAGTGTATTAAATTTTGGGTAATGTAATGATAGGATAAGGTTGTCGCATTTTACATTTGTTCAAACCCAACAACATTTTAAAACATCAATGGGACGAAATCTTATTGTCTCAACCGAAGGTAATCGTAAAAGGGTCACTACATCAATGAGTTCACTTATAATATCTGTTTGGGCCCAATTTAGTCCAATTGGGCCTGGTCACTGAATGATCCAATTAAAAGCCCAAGGCAAAGGTTCAACTCTCCAAATATGCTAAAGTCAAAAATCAACATCCTCAAAGCCATGTCAAGGTCAGTCAACGGCCCAATCAGCTTGGCCCAGCCCAACTGACTTCCGGGCCCAATCCGCCTCCTTCATTAGCCAAGGTATAAAAGCCAACAATTTGGTCAATTCTTGGTAAGACAAAGATAAAAAGACAATAAAGCCTCAAGCAACTAAACTCTTGCACAGCTTTCTCTCTCTAATATACTGACTTAAGCATCGGAGGGGCCTTCCTCGGCGTCCCCCCCGAGGCTAGTTTACGTGTATTTGTTGTGCAGGAAACCCTCGGCTCCGGCGTCGTTCGGACCGAGACCAAGTTCCCTCAAGATAAAAGGATCTTCCGAGATTCGATTGTTTTCATCCGAAACAATTTGGCGCCGTCTGTGGGGAACGCTACTAAATTTCGCGTCAGTCATCAAACACTCCGGCAGTCGCCATGACTAAGAGTGGAAAGAGTTCCAAGAAGGCTAAGAAGGGAGGAGGCCGGATTACGGTGAGGGAACGCCAGCCGGTTTATCCCTCCCCGGAGCAAGCCTCTTCCGAATCGGAGGCCCCCATTTCTCCGGAAAGGGGAGCCTCAAGAGGTCCTAGCCTCCAGGAGGAGAACACCTCGCACCACACTCGGCAGCCGGGGCCATCCCCGAGACCGAGTGGCTCAGGTGCGAGGAACTCCCCGCCGCGCCATAGCGTGCAATCCAGGTCACATCCGCAGGAGACTCCTCCCTCCGGACCCTCCACCGAGGAAGTGGCCAGAGCAGTGGCCATCTGCATGGAGTTCCTTAAAGCTCAAGGGGCTCCAATCCAGATGCCTGATGATCACCAGCCGAGAAACCTGAAAAGGAGGATCGGTCAGGATGATGGTGGACAAGCTCCACCACATAGACAGCTCGGCCAGAGGTGGCGAGGGGACACCCGAAACTCCGGTAAGGAGAGGAGGAGGAACCCTCAACCCTCTGACCACTCTGAAGCTCAGAATTCTATGGGGCCCTCCAAGGACCCGGAATTCGCCCGCCGAAGCGTTCACGAACGCTT